GTTGCCCTAACGGACACTTTGTGACCGGCAACACATCGGGCTGTGAGAAGATCCCCATGACTTGTCCTACTTGTGGATGACTGGCTTCGTTGTATTTGCATTTACCTTTGTGGTTGAGTCCGTCGTTATTTGCATCCTGTGTGCAAAGAGGGGGCATCAGGCACCCATGGGGACTCTAGCTCCCCTGACGCAAGGAGGCAAGACCCTGGCATTGTCTTGGATGATGGATATGAGACACCAAGGCTTCCCCAAGATGCTCCTGTCATTAGCGAGTACATTACGTTAGATGCATAGGGGCCGCAGTATGAGGTTCTGCAATTGTTTGGTAAGCAACACCAGTGGTCTTCCTGCATAAATCACCACATCAGGATACTGACTTATCCCAATACTGACAGATTACTTAACACCAGTCTCTGTGCCAAAGCAGAATAAAACCGCTGTGACTCGTTTTTGGGAGCTTCCAAAGATGTCAGTTACCACATTAGCTGTGGTATTTTTCCAGGTCAGAGGACACTATCGGCCGAAAAGTAAATAGCCTGTTTGAGATATAGAGAGAGTCCACAAGCACACTCGTACATTCGTTGTATACGTTAAGTAGTTAACTACATGTAGTTGTGGGCCCTTCAAGATGGCACCTGGTGACTTCAGCCCTCAATCGCGACGCCCCGTCTATGAGCTATGTAACTGCGGGCCCAAGATGAGCGATTAACATACATGGCGGACTCCACACGGCTGCTTATAACTGTTTGTGGCAAATACGTTCGTTTGTAAAATCCATTGCACTCAGACATGGTGTTCGGGACGGCGTTGACCTCCCAAGAGCACCATTCACGTTTGGAATTGTTGTCGACCAAGGAGTCCAGCGACATTAGTGCTTGGACAGTTTGCCAATGAGGCCGCCGTTTGGCAACAATAGAGTACATGTAACGTAAAGTCAAGCTCGTAATGACCGATAACATTAATCTTCAATATTAATTTAGCAGGACGATACTGTACTATAGGAGACATGATGGGCATTTGTGTCATATTTCTTTGGCTTATTACAAACTCACCTATTTAGCCAGCATGTATGTACGCAATATACACAGGAATTTATGATTGAATTGCCGGAAAGAATTATGATGTGTCTTTATCCATCTCCCTAATTCACTTGGTAATTTAGTCACATTGTAGTTAACGTAGTTGATTGCATTTTGGAAGTTCAAATCTGAAAGAGGCCGAATGAACTGTTGAAATGAAAAGAGCTTTTGTGACAGGGCTTATGTGAAGGGTACTGAGTAATAACGGTTTTCGATGTTTAAAAGCTGGTTCCGGTATAGGTATTAAATGATAACAAGAAAATACTTGGATTTCATGATGACGTATCAAAAGCAAATTTAGCGCTCTGTACATGTACGCACTGACTCGAATCCCCTGTACGTAACGTGTATGCAGTGTCGGGGCTGGTTCACGCTGCCTTTGCACACATGCAGCGCGTAACGTGAACGCTCCGTGACGTTCATACTTTATCTTTTCTCAAGTCTCGGCTGCGTGTGCCTATCCGACAAAAGTTACGCATACATTGGTGCGTACGCACTATCCGTTATTTTTACCCACTGCGTGCAAGGGCGCGCATTTTCATTACGCACTGCGCTTCCGATCACGCACTGCAGACACCTCAAAATAGACCTTCGCGCTGCGTACACAGTGAAAACGCAGCGATTATGGACTGGCCTTCAACAACCACCCCCAACCGGCGTGCTTGGGTAATGGACGGCTCCAAGTCCAAGCATCTTCCAAACTAACTAAAAACAAATAAACAAGCAAATAATAAGCAAAAAACCGAACAACACAGAAGACAGTGCACTTGCGTAACTGCAAAATCTAAAGTGGTAACCCTGCGTCAAAGTCTTTTAACATGAAGAAAAAAACCTTTTCAAATCATGCCGATAAATAAGCCACGAGCTGAACCAAGAGAGGGCGCTATTTTTAGCGACGGGGTTCACTGTGGTCTGAAAGGAAATTCGCTGGTTCACGAAGGAATAGGAAATACACTCGTAACGGTCGCATTGCTGCCAACAAATTGAACACTCTCGGCCAATACGCATTTTTCAACCAATGAGGGGGTGCTTCTGTTTGAGGCGGATAGTAGCCTACATGTAATGCGAATACCGAATAAGGTGTATGGCTCAAGCCTTATGCCCATTTACTTCTCTTCTAACGGTTTACTCCATATCACAGTTATGACAACCAATGTTAAAAACACTGCATCCTTTGACGCATTGCAATTAAAATTAGATCCATGTTTCCTGTTATTCGAAAGTAATGTTTTATTACAAAGGAAATAAGCAGTTTGTAGCCGTAAAAGTAAAGATAGCCTTTTTTACTCAAGTAGCTTTGACAACACTCAGTTGCAATGTCGTCATCATGACTACATGGATGATTATTGGACGTTTGTACTCTGTGTAACTATGGGACTATGAGTTATATCCAACCTTGTCATTGGTGGAATGAACACTACTCCAAATTCATCGCTTTGTTTACCCTTTTCGAAGTTAAAAGTAAAGTATTCGCCAAAAGAAAAGAAAAATGTTGCATTGAATAATTAGCGATAAATTTACAAAATTCGTGTTGCACGATACACTAACAGAAAAGTGGTTTGGTGGATGGATACCTTAAGACTGGGCATTTGATATTTTTGCCTCATGAAACCTGTGAGAACGTGAAAATGAAAGGGAAAGTTTACCTTGAAATGAAGAGGTGTGGCTATGAGTTGGGAAAACAAGGTCTAGATTGGCTGTTACTGGATGACTGTGTTTTGGTGTTCCATTCCAGCTCAGGTTGTTAAAATTTATTTTCCAGGTAGAAACTTATCCTGTAATGAAACTAGAAGTGCATTTGTAGCTGGTATCGTATGCCACAGATTGTGAATGTTACAGGAGGTGGCAAAACCACAGCCTTTCCTGATCTCGTGA